CAATCTTCTTTTTCTTGCCATTGACTGTCAAGGACAGTTAAGCCTGATTTTTTATAGTCATTATAGTAATGCACTTAATAATTTTTATTTAATTAAATATAGCACCAAATTATATAGTCTAATAATATGAAAAAGTAGACAAATTCACTTATCTCATAAAATTTTCTTGGCTTTCTAACTATGCGACAAGAGCTGTTACAAATTCATCCAAGCTAGTTGTTAACTTTTCCAGAGGAAGATGTTGGCACCTGAGTGAAATTGACATCTAAATGTTCAGAACATAACATTATACAATACATCATTTCATAGATGAAAACCTTGACTTTCTATTGGTTATAGGTAATATATAATGAAATGTAAGAGAGAACTATCAACAAATTCTGAAAGAGAGGATGTGGCAGGAGGGGTGTGATTTTCTATTTATAGCTCTGTAACCAAACAAAACTGAAGGCTATAAAAATTATGCTTTGTTTGAGCAATAATGATTTTATAGAGTATTTTATGTTTAATTGTGTACTTTTTCAAGGGGTGGTGGATAAAATAGAGAAGACAAAATCCTCAAAGAAAATATGTTATAAGTGTCACATAAGGGGAAATTCAAGATGTTTTTTAATATTGCATTGTAGAATTAGGAACTTAAAACTTGTATACTATTAAAATATGGATTATTAGCTAAGTTTTATGATATACTAATTGGTATAACATAAATAAAAAGTGGTTTAATAACATTTTAATGTAAGACACTAAAACCTTGTGTTATTTGCATTAAAGGGTATCCAGGGCATTAGTTTTAATAAAGCTCGAGCAACAACTCATTGCTGGCTCTCCTTCACTTACTCTCAGTTGGGAGGAAGGATTTCTATCTTGCTGCATGGTAAAATATGGATAGTTTGCATGGAAATGCCTCTGCAGCCCACAATAATAAAATATGATCAGATCCTGTCTTCCAGTGCAACTTCCAGGTGGGGTACTATCTGCTCCTGCTTTGGCACAAACATCAAGGGAAGGCCTGTATAATCCTGTCCATTTGCTGTAAACCAGCTTATTTGTGTCATGACACTTTGAGGTGTCTGCTGCAGCTCCATTCTCAGTGGATACTAAATTTTGACAGGAGACACCAGTATGAGCAAGGCAGATCATACTTGTACGTACAGTGATGACTGTCTTCATTGATTTCCTCATCTCTTGCGATTAGTCTGAGGTGAACAACACAGATATTGGCTCCGTTAAAAGTAAGAATATTTTGAACTCCTTGGTGCTACCTAATGGTATTGCTTAGATGTCTCCTATTAAATTTGTTGATAACATGTCCATCTGATCTTCTGACACAATTTCAGGGTAATATATCCTGTGCAAGTGATGTAGGTCATCTGCAAAAAGCACTCAAGATCCCATAAGCCTTAAACTCAGGCTGATGGAAAGCTTGGTTTTCTGGCAAAATGGCGCTTCTACTCTTAATTTTTTTTATTTGTTTTTTTGAAAATCCGTAAACTTGTTTGACTAATTATGCCTTAAAAAATTTTTTTTTTCATTTGAAAAACATTGTTTTGCTGGTTTACCTAGCATTGTCAAGTAGATGCATTTGAATAATGGAACAAAACTTTTACATGTTGCAGTATCAACAGTTGTTAAATAGGGAAACTAAAAATACAATTTTATACTGGAATACTGGTAAATGCTAGGTTTTTGTTTTTTAATCAGGAGAGCTTCTTTCATTTTTATTCTATTATATTATATTTCCTGTCAATAAAAAGAAAATCAAAAGTGGTTATTTTGAACCATGTGCTCAAACACAAAGGAAAGGACTTTTAACTGTCCTTTTAATTTTGTAGGCACTTGTTGGCAGGTTTCCTCTAATATAAGAATTATCAAACTTTTCATATGTAATTTGATATAAGGATCCTGAAGTGCTCTTATCAACAAATCTGTGAAAATAATTTTGACCTAGATTTGTTGCTTTTAAGATAATAATTTTACATCTAAATCCATGTTTTATTCTTTAACTGTTTTAACCCAGTTTTTTATATGGCATGTGAAAGCCTTGAAATATATGGTAAAAATACATGGTTTTCTAAATTGTTGATTACATCTTTATTTATATTTCATTTTCTATGGAGGGTAAGTTTTATTTATAATTGTGAAAGAATACTTGTTTTGTAAATTAAATTTATGAAATTGAAGAAGCTTATTGAGAAGAGTATGTATTTTAGCTGTATGTAAAAAGGTGTTTATTATCTCTATTTTTGTACAGAATCATGGAAAGGATGCCAATGAATATATGTTCAATATATTAGACTGGTAGCACATGTGCATATTTTCAATAGAAATAAAAAAATGACACAAATGTTTCTTGTGCACAATAAATGTATTTGTGTAAGATATGCTCCACATGTTTTGTTGGACAACATTATTCACCATTTTTATTGAATATAAACTTCCGCATATGTATCTTCATAAAAAGTAGTGGTATGAAATCTACTTTCACTTTTTGTATATCAAAACATTTATTTTCAACTGTAAACATGATGTTGCATGTAAATGTGAAAGAAAGCTATTGATATAATCAATTTCTTTAAAGGCCATAAATATGTCAGCAACATTAAAAATACAGAAAATACAGTTTCTTTTTCCAGGCCTTAAATGACTTAAGACTGTCAATGTGGTTAAAATGAACATCGTGAAATAAATTATTTGTATGAGAAGTAGAAAAAAAATTTAATAATATTTCTAACAGTTGATGTAAACCCATCTCTGTGAAAATTAAGCTCATATCACTTCTAAGCAGGTAGATATTGTACTTTCCTCAGGTGCTACATTACTTGGAATTCATTATACACTTCAGTGGTTGATATACACATCATAATACTCTGTTGGATATACAAGAATGTTTAGTGTAAGAGTTATTTAGTTCATTTAGTGATCTAATATTTAATGATTATTTAGTTTTCATAACAAAAGTGTTAAAAGTAATTATTTTAAAGGCCATAGTTATGACAAATTTTGTTATGTAACTCTGTAAGAGTCGCACGTTGTGTGTATAGTTTAGTTGTTGTAATTTTACGTCACATTACTCAAACCTTCTATTGCCTTAAGTGAATATTGTTACATCACAGTGTCTCATAGCTTGTAGAAATTCTATGCTTCAGTAGGGCAATTTATAAATATAGGCGACCAAGTGAGCACAAGTTAAGTGAGTCAAGTTAGTAAAAGTGAAGTTTGATTGCATGATTGTTAGTTTAGTCCTAATGAGCGATATTTTAAAGTGGGTTTCACAGTTTAATAGAGATAAAGGAGAATGATTTGTCTTGTCAAAGGATGTTCTATAATAATTGAAATATTTCTATAATATTTAAAGTTCTGGATACAACTGAGGTAACCCATGGGGTAACGTAAGTGAATTTATTGCAGATTGTGTAGTAAAAACAAAGTAGAGAGAAATCATTCTTGTCAATTGAGTTCTAAAGTAACTGAAATAGCCTGTGTGCACTTTTGACATAAAAGATATTTTTTACGACTCTGCATACAACTGTGGTAAGTGACAAAAGAGTAGAGAAAAATAATTTGTCTTATCAGTTGGATTCTTAAGTAGTTGAATCAACCTGTGTGGACTTTTGACAACAAAAGATAATTATTTAGAGTATTAAATACAACTGTGATAATCCATAGTATAATTTTTATACATATGTTTGACTTCAAACATAGTGTTGGTGTGAACATGCTTTATATTCACTTTGAGAAAAACCTATAAACTGGACAGGTGAAGTGACCTCCCTTGAACTTAGACTTCGAGATTAAACAATTTTTGGAATACCAAGTTTATTTATTATATGTTTGACTTGTTTTGAATATTTTATTTTAAAATGTGTAGATTGTGTGCTCTCGATTTATTGTTCAAGTTTATCACCAACAAGTCACAAACACCTACTATAAAAGAATCCCAGCCCATATACAAAACCCTGACATATAGTAAGTTATGTTAATATTTCTACTAGGTTGATTTTTGTTTAATAATAACTTCATATTGTGATTTAATAGTAATTAAACTCTTATTTTTCTTTTTGAATTTAGTTCTCGTTGGAGAAATTCTTTACAAGCCTAGAGATGGTATGTAATAGTCTTAAATTACTTGGTGTTTTTAAATAATATGTTTAGAAAGTTAGGCATTTGTATCTGAAGATTTAAAAAAGCATTAAAATGTACAACATCAAATTAAGTTATTAAGTTTTAATTGGTAGCAAATAGAATATCCTTGCTCATTTTATTATTATTAATCAGTGTGTTTATAGTTTTGCAATACCAATTTTATGCATTACATATTTTGTTCCTATTGTTCATTTGGCAAAAATAATGGTTCATTTAACATCTTATAAATTATTTAAATAAGTGTATACTTGCTATGACTGTCAATTTTGAATGATTAATAAGTATGAATTGTCAACTAAAAAGTTATTGAAACCATACAAATTTTATGTAAACTGTACAACT